TGGATAGTTGATTTTTTTTTTTTTTTTGGTTGGCTTGATAAGCATGACCAGAGGCAACCAGACCATCTTCTCACAAGGTAATCTTGAACATCTTCCACTCCTCTGGCAAGCTGTTTGGAAATGGCAGAGGCCATCTCCTGAGGCAGGGAGACATTTGTCCAGGAGAGTGTGTGTGTGGCTGAGGACCGGGAAGGCATTTGGATGGCCCCTGTGTGACAACTGAGCAGAAGTGGTCACCAGAAGGACATCGGCCCCATCCTGCAAGGCCTCCACGGATATGTTGGTTCCTTGTTGACAGGGGACATCAAACATAGTGAGAATCATACGCAGTGTGAAAAAAAACTCCCTCCCTTGCACTCCCCCTCACCCCCATTCCCTATTCCTCTACCCAGAAACAAATGCAGTTGGTGAACAGTGTCTTGTCTTTTCTAGAGGCATTCTGTGCATATCTGATGGCAATGATGCCATTCCCTGGCCACCCCGTTACTCATATGCGAACCTACTGCACACCACGCTTCCATAATTTGAGAAAACCTGTCAGTTTTCCCACATCAGTGCCTCTAGATGCCAACAGGCAGTTTTGTTCAATGAAGAGTTCCGTCACGTCACGTATACTGTTTCTTTCTTTTGGGAGGGGGTGTGTGTCACAGTTTATTATAAAAGTAACACATGTAACTTAAACTGAGAAAAGAAATTCAGACAACATGGGAGCATGTCACAACAAAAAAAGAGAAAGTTCATCTTTTGCAATCACCCCAAGTCTTCTTCCCAGGGAGAGCCCGTGAACACAGTTGGGTGTGCATGCTTCCAGATTTTTCTGTTCAGATGCAGAGTCATGCCTTTTCCAGAACAGAATTGCACGTTCTATACTTTACTACAAATGGTCCTGTTCCCTTAATATATCACGAAGGCCTGTCCCTATTGGAACAAAGGTATCTTTCTCATTCTTTTCACAGAGGCCTGTTATTCTCTTGCTTGAATGTTCTGTAAAGTTTCTTTAACCATTTATTCATGGGGAGGCACTTAGGTTGTTTTCAGTTTTACTCCTTCATTATATGATGGTAATGCAGTGCTTTCAAATGGTTAAAGATCATTTTAGTATCCAAAGCTCTCCCTCCCCCATTAGAGAAAGGAATCCTGTTAGGGAACTTTCTTGAATACTTTGTGCTTCACATTGAATTTATTGACCTTGCATTTAATTTTCTGTCAACAGTGGCTCGGGCTGGCCCCTGCAGACTGCTCAGGAATCTGCTGGAGGAGTTGGGGTGGCCTGCAGATTTTAGCAAACTGCCAGTTCATTCAGGCAGCTCACTGAGCAGAGAACATCTTGATTCTATCAGCCTTAATCCCGGGTCCCTGATGGGGGCTGGCTCTTGTGGTCGTTAGCAGATGGAATGCTCGCCTGTGTTGGAAGGCACAGTTTTGGGGCCTTTGGCTCTGAGCAGTCTTGAACCAGAATTGAATGGCATTGAATCTTTCATGATATTAATGGGGCACTGTGAGTCCTTGAACTTGTGTGTGTTTATAATGTTACAGTAACAATAATAGTAGCTGTCCTGGTCTCTGCTGATATGGTGGGTCCCTCAAAAGGCAGAACACTGCCTGATTTACTGTATTATCTGACAAGTGCTTGACATGGTGAGTTCAGTTCTGACTCTCAGCTTCCAGGTGACCCACTGCAGTCCCACGGTCACTCACTAGCCAGGCTGGGAGGGAAACCAGGCTCCCCTGAACCCTGACTGCCCCCATGACTGACCAACTGTGTGTCCCTGGCCCCTGGCTTACTTGGCTAGCAATTATTTTAGCAAGGGAGCTCCCCTGTGTCTGAGTGGTTTCAGTTCTGCCCCCACACCCATGTTCTTTATCTGGGGATGTTGGTGGTGTGCCGTTCCCACAGGGAGGAGCCCAGTGTCTGGGCTGAGCGGACTCTGTTGTGGCTGGGTGGTACATGTGCCCGGAGGTCTCCTCATTTCATTCTGGGTGGAAGATTCAGATTTGGAGGTACAAATTCGATAGTGGGAAAACTGTCTGAAAAGTGTCCATACAGGTAAAGCCCCTCCCAGTATCTGTCCTTTGAGAATCTCTTTTCTTCCAGCCTCATCCTTTTCCTTGGGTAATGATGGGAGCCAGCGGTTATAAATTATTTGGAATTTCCCTCAGCTTGGTTCCTATTCAAGACTTTAAGTTGGGAGTTTTATTCTTTTTATGACTTCACAATCTTTGGGCAGGTTGCCATTTCTAGAACAGGCTTAATATGAGTTGTAACATGAGGTGAGCTGTGGGGGTGGGGGGTAAAGGGGGGATGCAAACTGATTTCTTCCCTTTCAAACCAAGGAAACAACCTTGATTTTTTTTGTAACAAGGCTCAACTTCTACATGTTTGCATCAGCATTATTATTTTTTACCTTTTACTCTTAATTATAAAAGGAAAAAAAAAACCGACCCCAGGAAACATGGCTTAGCCTGAGAGACAAAAGGCAAAAAAAAAAGAAAATTTTTTCTTTTTTTTCTCAAAAGGTCTTCAGTGTCTTGCCCTGGGGCAAGGTTGCAGGGGTTGGGGGCAGGTGGAGGGGGGCTGGATGGTTTTCATTATAATAATGTTGTCATCTCTTTGTGGAGTATTTTAAAGCCAAATTAACTTATTGTCTTAGGTAAAAATATAATTTGTAGCCAGCACAGGTCCTGGCATTTAGTAGGCAGGAAGTATTTGTTGGGTACGAGAATAGATGAATAGAACAAAATTGAGCTTTCACGTATGGAAGTGGCCTTAATTTCTGTTTTCCAGGGAAACTACAGTTGAATAGGTTTGGGAGAAGTGAGGGCAGAGCTGTGTCTTCTGCCATCCTCCCTGACTTCCCATGCTGAGAAGTAGGGCATGCATGGCGGACCTCCCAGATGCTGGGACATTGGAATCCCCAGTTCCTAGGGTGTAGTAGAGGCTGAGTCATGACTGAGACACGGGGACTAAAATAATCCATGTCTGACTCCTGCTCGCACCGCCCAGGCCTGGTGCTGTCACTTTCTGTGCTGTCTGTCCACATTTTTGTGCCAGAACTTTGACGTTTAGCGACCGTGGGAATGACTGGGGCAGTTCAGGGTCAGAGGCCCTGCCTGGGTTCCACCTCCCAAGCACACCGCTAATGGGCCGTGGGTCCCGAGGGTGTGTCCCTTCCTGGTACTCAGTCTCCTCATCTGTGAAATGTGTGTCCTATTGTGCTCAGCGAATACAGCAGTTGTGACATAATGTGCGTTCAGAGAAGTAGGGAGGATTGCGCTCGGACAGCAGAGAGAACTGGGTTTATTTTATTTTATTTTTTTAATTTTTATTTGTGTGTGTGTGTGTATGTAATCTTTTTTTTTTTTATTAACGTATAATGTATTATTTGTTTCAGGGGTACAGGTCTGTGATTCATCAGTCTTACATACTTCACAGCACTCACCATAGCACATACCCTCCCCAGTGTCTGAGAACTGGGTTTAAATTAGGTTCTCCCTCTGTGTTACTTTTGGCCAGTGCCTCTATGGACCTCTGTCATCTCATCTGTAAAATGAGATTAACCATAAAAGCGACCCTCATCGGGTCACAGGGAGGGTTATGGGAGGTGATGCATGTGGCACAGGGCCAGGCCCAGGGGGCAGGTCTGGAAGAGAGGGAGCTGCTGTTAGAGTGTAGCTGCCATTGATGTCAAGAGGAGAGGGGCTTAAGGAGTCTTTCCCAGCATGGTTGCTCCTGCCCTCGCGCTCTTTCTCAAAGGGTTACCCTATGGGCTGGGCTTGCGTGGACGGGGTGGGCCATGAGCTGCGTTTCAGGTGAGGGGGGTCTTGCCACGTGACAGGCTGAGCTGGGGGACTGGGTTTCAGGTGAGCCTGAGCTGGAGTCAAAAGGTGACCAAGACCTCCGTTCACAGCCAGCGTTTATTATTTCAGCTGGGCATGTTCTCCCAGTCGTGGTGGCTGGAAGCGATGAGTGAGGGCCGTGCTGAGAACTTCTGAGCTCACACTGGGGTTTCCTGGTGCCTCCCAGTGGCTGGACTCTGGGCTCCTCCTCTCCCTGCTCAGGCTCAGGGGTCCCTGGGGCCCTCATCCTACCACTCACTTAGGAGACCTGTGACTTCGAAATCAAAAACCTAGTGTAGAATACATTGCTTTGACCATTTTGGAGTGTCTTTCCTACAAGGCTAGAATTCTTGTTCTAACTTTTTAAGGCTATCCCAATAATACTAGCTGGAAGGGACTTAGTAAGTTCTAGGCCTGTTCATATACCTATCTCATTTAGTCCAGTGTGACTTTGTCGCTGGATAGAAAGTAATTCCCAGAAGCGATAAGAACTTTTTTAAAAAAGTGGCATTTGGAAGCCCACTCGGTGATGCAAATGCACCTTTTAAATAAAGGATGCCTCTTAACCAGAAAATCCAGTGTTTGGGATAAATTAGGAAGCAGGACAGCAGCATCGTATCTGTGATCTGAATGTCCACCAAAAACAATGTACCAAACTAAAAATAAAGTATTTATGAAATAATTTGTTCCAATTATTCCAGGGAAAAGTTGTCCAGCAAGTGAGAGAAGACAGAAGGAATAGTTGGCAAAGCAGGAAATTTGAAGTCTGAGGTTATGCAAAAGGAATGTGTTTTGGGCCTATAGTAGAAATCTCAAATCTGGGGTCTGGCAATATTTACTCAATTCTGTTGCAGAGAAATACCAGCCACTGCTCCCCATGCTGTGCCCAGGGCAGGCATGGCTTATCTGCACAATTCTACCTTGCCAAGCCTCCATTCCCTGTGCCTGTTCATGGCAGACACTGGTTATTGATTTTCTTGCCTGCTGACCCCAGATAGGGCCTCAGAATCTTTCTTAACACAGTGAAAGGGTCTTCACCTCATATGCCAATGCCATTTGCCATCCACCCCTGGTCTATCGTGTCATCTCTTGAAAAATTACTAACATAAAAAGGCCTTGCACATGGACTCTTTATTAACTGAACCCTGACATAGTGAGGTGTAAAAGTTGTTAACTCAGACAGCTCCTTTGTCATCCTTGAGAGTTCCTGAGTAAGAAAAAGGATAGGAAATCCCCTGACCTGAGTGCCCCAATCCACCCTTATTTTATTGTGATCTGTATTTTATCTTGCCAATAGAAATAGGCCCATGTGACTTCAGGACTTCAAGGCCCAGAACATCGTCTTGTTACAGTTAAACTGCTGTAACAAAGAGATAAAAATTGAAAAACAAAACAAATACAGTGACTTTTTTCAGTCTTTAAGTTGTCAGGGCACCCTATTCTGGGACCCAGGTTCCTTCTGTCACCTTGCCTGGCCTCCCCTCGGGTAGGTCAAAGCTAAGGGACCGTCATGTCAGGGGCTCTGGCTGGCAGGAGGGAGCGCTTGGAGGCACCTCACCCCCAGCCCCCGCACCCTCCCCCCTTCCCCCCCGCCACCACCCAGGGCCCTGAAGTGATAGCACACTTCCTGTGCTCACCATCCATTGGCGAAGCATCCATGCCGCTGAGCTGCAAGGGAGGCTGGGAAGAGCCATCCAGCTGGAAGCTGCATGCCTGGGGAAGGGGGAGGAAGGGTTTTAGTGGCCTTCACCGCAGTACCCTTCAATCATCAGCAGTGTGAGTCACCTGGTTGTAAGTCTGTCTTGCCTTTGGATGGGTTCAGGCCCTAGATGAAGCCCTGAGCAGGAGAGAAGCCAGCCTGACCCCTTCATAGTCCTGCCAAGGGACATAGTCTGTCATCTGCTGTACGGATGGAAGGACCGTCACGCTCTCAGAAACGCACCCCGCTTCTGGGCAGCGGACTGAGATGGTCCTCCTCATCGTGGCCACGGGGACAGGTGGCAGCTGAGAAACTGAGGACAGTGGCAAACTGCCTTCTTTTAGTTGAGGTGTCCCCTTGTTTGCATGGCTGAGGCCAAGAATTCAGCCGCAGTTTATTCAGGCTGGGAAAGAAGGCAGGATGGGGGAAGGCGTAAAGCCACCCTGGGAGGCCAGGGAGCCCCAGTTCCACCACCTGGGTCCTGGGCCCAGGTGACCTGAGTGCTGCAGTGTGGGGTTCCCTTGGGGCAGCCCTGCACAGGAGGCCACTTTGGTTGGCTCACCCAAGCAGTCAAGGCTGACAGGAAACCCCACTGCAAACATGCGGGTCACCTCCTTTAATGGCTAAGCGTTCACTTTTCCCTTCTGCCCTTGTTCTTTTTGTCTCAGGGTTGATAAAAACATGTTGAAGTCAGTGGTGGTAAGAATAATAGTAATAATACTAGCATTTAACGACAGCTGGGTGTTGCGGGGGTGCTCTGAGTTTTGGAGATGTGTTATCACATGCAGGCCGCCCAGTGGCTCTGCACTCCTGCTCCAGCATTATCCGCAGTTTCCAGGGAAAGTCACTGCGGCACGCTGGGATCGGGTCACTTGGCCAGGGCTCTACAGCCAGTGTGGTGATGCCGAGCCCACCCCTGCGGAGCCTTAGTGACACCCCCTGCTGTCTTCCTGTGCCACATGTTCTGTTGCCTGCTGGGGGTGCAGAGGTGGGCACCATCCGGAGCAGGTTGGCATTCTGTCTGAAACGCTGTGTGTGGACTTTTGAATCCACTCAGTGAGAGGCAGCTCTGTGTCTCAGCACCAGAGAGGAGAGGCCGGGGAGCCATGCATGGGGCAGCCTGTCCCCCAAAGAGCCAAGTGTCCATGCTTAGGGGAGCAGAACAGTCTGCTCCTGCCTTTGTGGAGCCAACGCTTTGAGCAGAGGAGGCAGACACAGCAGGTGAATATCTCGGTGCAGCCGTAGTCTCATCAGAAGAGAAGGGCACATTTCACCAGAGACCTATTCTGGTGTTGCAGAGTTGGATATAGAAGAGGCGTTAACCAGGTCAAGAGAGGTGGGGAGAGAGTTCCAGGCTAAGCCAGCGGAGGCCAGAGATCAAGGTTAACCCCCGGGCAGTGTGATGTTGGGAAGTCAAGAAGGGACCAGACCCCGGGCTCTTGTGGGCTGCTTTTTATACTGTGTTCTCTTTCAGGGAGGTCTGATAAATGATCAGTAGTTGGGTTCCTGGGTGGTTCTTGGTTTCCGTCTGAGGATCTCAGGCCATATGGGTCTCCCTAAAGTACTCAGCACAGAAGTGACCCCTGGTGCCGACCACACATGTCCTGGGTTCACTGCAGTGTGCGGGTCAGCCTTCTCCCAGAACAGGAGATCAGGACCTCAGAGTCCTTCTAATGAATTGCTTCGCTCAGAGAAGTGACACATGGAACATCCCATCCTCCTCTTAGTTCACAAAGTACTGTCTTTCCCTTCGTATTGACAAACCTGGGATTATAGCTTCTGGGCTTCTGGCTCTGGGGAGGTGTGTTGGGCACATAGCAGTTATTCAGGTATGAGGTGAATGAGTAAGAAAGGGGAGGGAGGTAATATTCAGCGTCTGCCCTGTACTTGGCATTGCTCTCAACTCTTGGTGTGTTCTGTAACTCACCTACTCCTTACCAACAGCCCCGTGAAGGTGTTGACTGTGACCATTTACATTTGGTAAACGAGGAAACAGAAAGCCCAGAGACAATGGATGGACTGTTCAAAGTGACATGTCTAGTTGACCTGCCGGTTCTAGAGCCTGTACTTGAAACTGTTGTGCCCCACTGCCTCTCAGAGGGTAATAGAGATGAGAGGGTGGGGAACAGAGTGTGTGGCCGACTCCTCTCCAGATGACCAAATCATAGTTGGAGCATGGCCTGGGTGGTTTTCCTTGAGCATACGAGAAGGAGCTTTTCTGAAACTTCTACGTCTCCTTGATTCCTGTAGTCCCGTGTTGGCTGTTTCTCACCTAGCAGTGAGCTGCTGCATTGTGGCTAATGGATGAGCTGTTGTTCTTACTCAGGAGAGCAGAACTGTGGGATGGTGTTCGCTCAGGCCCCTCCCCCCGGCCCCCCACCATGCCGCCCTCAGTAATATGGCGGGAGGTCTGCACAGTGAATGGTGCGCACGCAGGCGGTTGCATGGATCCTGCCCTCCTGATAGGAGAGAGGGAAAGATCACATCTCCCTTCCTCAGAAGAGCTTGTCTACACAGTAGATGTTTCCATGATGCTTCCAAAGATTGCCTAAAAATAGCTGGTTTCCTCCCCTGTAAATGTTGCCCATTCCCGATTGTTGCTCAGGGAGTCCTGGGGAACCGGTATACAGAAGTGATGTGAAAACATTCCATCCTGGAATTTGCAGTAGCTCAAATTAACTTTCTAGCTATTAAAAAAAAAAAAAAAAAAAAGGTTGTGGCCCTCACTTGGAAGCATTGCTGGGTGATTTTAAGTAGTTCCAGAGGGGGTGTGTGGTTTGCGGGTCAGTGCTGTCCGGAGCCAGGCCCAGTTCCATGGGAATTGGGATTGGTTGGATCTGGGGAGGAGAGACCTGTGGCCAGATTCCAACCCACGGACAATGTAAGCAGATTCTAGGAGGTCTAGCAGGCATGGAGGGCGTTGGCTTATTTTATTCCAGAAAGAGGCTCTCAAGGAGGTGGAATCCTGCCAGAGAGGCTTCCAGCTGACCTGGCCATTTCTCCTGTTAACATTTCTGTTCCCTGTTTATACTCGACATAAACATCACAGAGCACACTCACATTTGAAAACCCCGTAGTCTTGCTTTGATGGTCAGACATCGACATTGTGATGCTCTGTAGCATTTCATTTTCAAGGCACTGGGAGTCTCCTGTTTCATGTGGGTGGGAAAGGGGGAGACCTTTTTGGGCAAGCTGCCATCTTTTTATTGTTCCAAGAGTTCGGTAAAGCATTTGAACCTTCACCTGTCAAAATCACTTTTGGAGCGAGGACTGTTCTTTCTCCAGCTTCTTAGAATAGCAGAACAAAAGTATCGTTTATCCCAATGAGACCTTAATGGGGGCTTTCCCGTTTGGACACCCACCTTGAATTCATTGGAAACAGAAGTTCTGGGCATTGTGTTTTTCATACATTTGGCTCAGATTTTTACTGGGTCATATTTCCCCCCCAAATCTTTTTCAAAAAAGACTCCTTTCTCATTCCTTTAGACCAACATGTGTAAGCTGGGTAAAAATAGAGCAAACTGGTTTCATGTTTTGATTTATGGATCAGATCTGCAAGTTTGCGTTTGAAAAGCATTTAACACATAACTCAGGAAAGTTGAACTCTGCAGTCTGATGCTTGTGGCTGGATGAGACTTTGTGTCCCGTTCAGATCCTGCCTGGTGCAAGACCAGACCCTACGTGGTCCACCACTGGTACCCTGACTAACGATAAGTGTACACATACTTTACATCCTTCCTGCCCCCTCCCCCCACGCTTCTGAGGACTTGTTCTTCCTGTAGTTTGAATAAAGGAAACTGGCATGGAAAATTGTTTGACCTGGAATTTCTTACGATTGGTAGATAGTAACTCAGTAATTAGTAGCACTTCAAAGACAACTTTATAACAGGACATCTAATCACAAAAATTCCATCACGGTCAAGGGCTGTCACCTGGAGAAACATATATACGGTCTGGTGAGATGAATTCCTTGGATGTCCAAGTTCTGTGCATGGTCAAGTGTTTTGTGTAGCTGATTGCTGCTTCATTGACCACAGGACCTCAGAAACAGAGGTGGCTTCATGGTCCTACGGTACAGGACCCTGCCCTGAGAAGGCTTCTGTGCTTGGTTTAATGCTCTGCTGCTGCTGTCCTGAAATTCGTAATACTTTTTGGACAAGGAGTCTTGTATTTTTCATTTGTTGCTGGGCCCTGTGAGTTACATGGACTGTCCTGCTTCAAAGTTATTTATACAATTCATTACATAGAAAATCTTTGGGCACCTTATCTTTGAGGATTGCTCAAATCTAGAGTGTCTTACCAGCCAGTTCATGATAATCTTTACTCTGCATAGTTTTACATGATCAAGTTTTATTATGACTAAATCTGCAACCATAAAGGTACCTTTGTTTTTTGTGGGTTTGGGGGTGCCCTGTTAAGAGGATCTTTTCTTATAAGAGGACTAACAATAAACAGGTTAATTAAAAAAAAAAAAAAGGAAAGAAAAGCCTCCACCTTTTCGGTTTTAAGTGGCATGCCATTTATTCCTTATTAGCATGTGTGTATATTTCTCATGTGGGTGTAGTTGGGTTTCATTAAGTGCAATCCTGCGTGTGTTTAACTGACATTTAGGTGGTTTGTGGTGGATGGGTGGGTGGGACATGGTAAAGGGAGCTCCAAGATGGCAGAGGCTCAGTTACTCCCTAGCAGGTGCTCGTAGCCTTGCAGTGGGGGCTCGGAGGCTTGGTTTTTGTCTTGAGTGGGCCCTGGCACAGTCACACACATGCTGGTGGGAGCGAAGCGCCACCAGCTGTTAGATCTGGCCCTTGACTTAGGAGCCCGGGTTTGTCCCACAGGAGGATGGGGTGAAGGGTCTTCCCATCAAAGGGAATACGGAACACATGGAGAGGTCCAAGGGGTTCAAAGCAGGATGTGGTCCAGGAATGAGGTGTCTCTGAGTCTGCAGTGTGAACTCTGGCAGGAGGAGCTGACAGGGGTGAAAAAGCGGGCTGGCTTTGGGGGTTCTGAGGGTGCT